AGTGATAGGTAGCTTAAAAATAACATTTTCATTTTGAAGTGATTTGTATCAGTTTACCCTATAAACACTAATACTCTAATAGATAGATTAATTCTTTCTAAGCATGACTCCTGGGACATTGCCAATATCTGTTTTTTCCCCCCATTATTTGCCTCCTTCGCAGAGTTCATTATATAAGCTACTAGTGGCCCAGTGCGCGGATTCATGCACATTGAAAGGAAGTTAATTAGAACAAACAGTTTAATATCACTATTTTCCCTTTCTCTATAATAGAAGTGTCAACCAAATTCACGATCAACAATAACAGATTGAAACACATGCGTGCAATTGGTGCCAGCTAGAGCTTTATATGTATCGCACATGCATGAGTCAACTTAGCCTTTTATATATATAGAATAAACTTGCTTAGTTAGACCTGCTTTCTGATGTAGCTAAACTTTTTCCAGCCTAATGAAGCACCCCAACTTCTCTTTCAGGTAACTGTCAGCAACACAGCAGTAAATATCAACACAAAGCAGATTATTATTGTAGCTCATGCGGGGAGAACAGAGGGTAAAATATTTAACTGCAGCAGTGTTTGACTATATTCTGCACAGTGAGAAAACCTGAAGTCATTTTCAAGGTCCACCATTTCTTACTTCTTTTCAGTTGGGTCAAGTTTCTAAACGTTCTAAATCTCCCATTTTCTGGCTAATGAAAAGAAAATAGGATTCTACCGAGTCTCCTATCTACCTACTCCAGGACTTCTGTGAAGATCTAATGAGATGAAGCACATGGGAAAATGCTTCACAGACATTTGGTTAAAGTGTAAATGTTTACACCTGGCCATAAAGCAAGTCATATTCCTGGGCTGAAGAAACTGCAAGGAGGCTAGTCGCTAGGGAGAGGAAGCTGGGCATTGCTATGTGATATCATTACCCGGAGCCCACAGCCACTGTTTCTGGGCTGGGTTGGGCTGAGCTGTGGGTCACATTTTGTGCCATGGGGTCTTGACAGTGTTGGCTGTGATTTGGTGGGCTGTAGCTCCGCGGTGGTGGCGAAGCCTGTGTCCCACTTGGGGGAAGCCGAGTGTTGCTTTGTTGGTGCCAGGTCTGTGATGCCATTTCTGTGTAAATGACCAGTGCGTGTTATGGCAGCTCCTGTGTTGAGTGTCTGCCCCCTGGTAGTCAGTGCATGTCACAGTGACCGGTCGGATGGTCAGAGGGACACTTAGCATATTAGCCTTTTATATATATAGATACTTGGACACTCGCCCAATTATCACCCCGATCACTGTGCAATTTGCTTACTTTATTGAAAACTTTCCATCTTATAGTTCAAAGTTTTGTTTTTATTTTTTACTTGTGGACTATAAGAGCTATTGTATTTGAAACACAAGTGTACTTCTGTGTGCACCTTCCACACCATCCAGCTAGGATTAAAGGATAATGTCTCAGTAATCGTGTAAATTCACATTCTTGGGTTCCAAGCAACACTTTTAGAAAAGGTTTTCTTTCTTCTTTGTTATTTCAAAAATAAATAGTTACAGAACTGGTTCCTATCATGAATGGGCTGCTTCTATCACAGAATCACCCAATCTCAGAGCTGGATCTAGTCCAATATCCCACTCAGTTCAAGAATCCTTTCTTTAGCATAATTTAGCTCCTGGATGGATGATCATCTAGCCTTGGCTTAACTACGGCAGTGAGGTGTAATTATCCCACAAGAAAGAAAAATCATATTACTATGGAGGATATTTACCTGTGTTTTCTAAATTACCTGTATTAAGCATGTGCAATTTTTATAATTAGGAGAAAAGTTATAAAAACGCATATCAATACTTTCAAAAATGATATGCCTTTTACATTTTCATCTAAAAAGTTGATGAGCGTTAAAGAATAAAGACAAGGATAGAGCCCTACTTCTAGTAGAGATTTCCCTCCAGGGTGATACAGGGCTATTCATTTATTATTAGGATTGTTAATTTAAACCCAACCCTTCCTGGAAATAGTGACATATTGAAGTTGTATTAATATGGCAAAGGATGCAGGCTTTTGATTCCATATCTTCATATTTGTTATATTCTCAAAAAATAGAATTGTCTGGTGGAATTTCTCCTTCCATTTCTTAGTTTAAAAGCAATTTCTCAAGAATTCATAGAAATAATGATTAATTGAGTCAGTCAAGCATGAAAAAATAATATTCTTTTTCTACTATAATGCATGTTTTTAAAAACTAAACAAAATAGTTTAGATTTAAAACTCTGAAATTTGGCATAAAATGAATACTCAAAGGACCATTAATGCATGTCTGAGTGTGGGAAAGCATTTGCCTTTGAGAAAATTTGAGAATAAAAAAACATACATTTTGCTGGGTGTGGACAGAGAATTAGGCCTTACTCAGAAAGAAATGGTTACATGATATAATTGTTTCTGATAGAATATACACAAAGAACACACTGACTTTGAGAAGTTCGGTTCAATTTGACTTTTTATCTATCTCTTTATTTCCCTGAGACCTGACCTTTGAATGATTTCTTTTTTTAAATGTAGCCTAAAACTTAATAGTATATTTTTTTCTAAAATTTGCCAGTGAAGCAAGCAAAAGCAGGGTTCATCACCTTCACAGCATGGTATCTTTCCTCCACTTCTCCAGGTCACTGCTCATCTCAGAGCAAGAACGGAGACTGAACGTGGGGTGTGGAGCTGTTACATGGGGCCGGGGCCAGAAAGAGCGAGGGGCCTGAGAAGAGGAATGATTTCTTTGCTGCATAAAACATGGCAATGTGTTGCTAACCAGTTTTCCTTGGAAAGAATGCATCTGGTCTTGATAAAAGCATTTTTTTTTACACCATATCAGATTTCACATCAATGATAGTCATTGTTTTTAACTGAAACCTAAGAGAGAAAAATGTCATTCTGAATCTTACTGCGCAAGATGAAGTCAGAGAAAGTCCTGGGCATGCGCAATCTCTCATAGTTAGCCTATCTCTTCAAATATAGGTCAACAACCAATAAGCCCCAAGCACTAGGATTCAAAGATTAATAAAGTGTAGGTCTTGCTCTCAAAGAGCTTACCATCAAGTACGAAAGAAATACACTTAGATGTGACCTGAAGGTCAGCACAATGAATGTGTGCCCGGGTTATTATGTGGTCACAGAGGGGAACCCCTGACTCAGCCCAGAAGGGTATCTAGGGACCCTCCAAGCCCAAACAGTAAACTTCTCTGAGCAGCATCTTCACCTCAGCATCTAGCCCATTGTAAGCGCTAGATAAATATTTGCTGGACTTGACTGAGTGCATTATATTGACATTAAAAGCTTTCGTGCAAGACCAAAAGGGCTGATTGAAGGTGTGTGTATATTCCCATTAAAGCTTTGAAGAATTCAGATATATATCCTGCTTATTTTCTCCACAACACTTAGCACGCCCAATATTGTATACATTACTGTCTTTATTGTCCGCTACCCCTTAACCCCCAGAAGTGTGAGCTCCTTGAGAATGGGATTTGTATTTCCATTGCTTATAACTGTTGATGGTATCTAGTGTACTGAATAAATATGTACTGAGTGAATGTGAAGTTCAATACTAGTTGAACTGATAAAATGGACAGTTTAAAAGAAAATCCAGTAAATTTTGCTTTGCTTTTATCTTTTGGATATATGAAGCAAATTTATGAGACAGTATGAGAATTCAGTGCCTAAGTTATCGTTATGTACAGCAATGATTCTTGGTGTTTTGAAAATCTCATGGATGCTATTAACTCCCTCTATAGAAAAATGCACATACACCTCAAGTTTTGACATCAACAAATATACAAAAACATTTAATTGAGACTGTAATAGAGAAGGGAAAATTTTTTGAAAGAATTGACTAGACATTTTTGTGGATTTGCTTATTTTTTTTGGAAACAATTCTAATGCCCATCTAGTACTACCCTTTATTTTATTTGTAAAATGGGACTTATTATATGATCGATGTGTCAAGGAGGTTATATTATCTAGCTCAATATTGAAATATATTTTGAAAAAATATATTATTTATTTGATTTTTCCCCTCTAACTCTCCTTAACTTTATTTAGCCAAAAAATGTTTTAGATATATCAATACAGTGGGGCCTTGACTTACGAGTGTCCCGACTAACGAGTTTTTTGAGATACCAGCTGTCTCTCGGCTGATTTTTTGCATTGAGTTGACAGAGTAATTTGAGTTAACGAGCTCCTTAACGAGCTCGGTCTCAGAACGAATTAAACTCGTAAGTCAAGGCCCCACTGTATATATATCAATAAGTTAAAAGTAGGCACTTATTTTTAAAAGGTATAAAAGAAATTACTTCCTGAAAAAAGTTTTCTTAGTATTCAGAATACAAAATAGGATACATTTTAAAATTAAGCCCACTTTTATGTTATTAAATTTATTAGGGTATCATTGGTTAATAACATATTCAGATGTACAACTTTAGAATACAACACGTGCATATCGTGTGCTCCCTGCCTGTGCTCCCTAGTCATTTGTTGTCACCTTGTATTTGACCCCCTTTACCCTCTTCTAAAACCCCTAACTTCTGAAAATGGTTATCCAAAAATGTTGCTATCTCAAAAAGGTCTGGAGTTATAAATAATTTCCTATATCAGATGTGGTAGGCAGTCCCTCAATGGCTCTCAAAGATCCCTGCCTCCTCGTATTCACACATTTTGCGCAGTCTTTTTTGAGTGTGGACTAAATCTAGTGACTTGATTTAAAAGAATAGCATATGGCAAAAGTGATGGGTTGTCACTTTTGAAATTAGGTTATAAAAGACCGACTTCCATTTTGCTTCCCTCTCTCTCTCTCTCTCTCTCTCTCTCACACACACACACTCATACTTCTTGCTTGCTTGTTGTGATGAAGCAAGTTATCATGGGTGCCCTGCCCTATAGAGAGTCCAATGTAGTGAGCAAGGCCAATCAGGAACTGAATTCTGCTAACATCCATGTCAGTGAACTTGGAATCTAATTCTCCCCTGGTTGAGCCTTGAGATGAAAACCACCCTGGCCATCGCCTTGACTCTGGCAGAGGTTAGTGGCAGAGGTCCAGGCCCTGGGTTATGGGAGAGGGAGAGCATGCGTATGAAAGGTTGTACTCAGGAGAGATATACAGGAGATTCATTCATGATGAACAGACCTGACAGAAAGCACAAAGGCACGGTGGAAATTTGAAGAACTTGTCTTGTGAGAGACCCTGGGCCAAGGTACCCAGCCAAGCTGCCTCTGGAATCCTGAACCACAAAAACTGTGAGATAAATGTAGGCCACTAAGTTTTGTGGTAACTTCTTACATATTAGTAGGTAATGAATACATCAAGAATGACCTTATCTACAGCCAGGGAAACTGATGTTATAACTTAAGTGTTACTGAAATGGCTTTTAGTGTAGATGTCAGTAAATCAGTAGTATTTCAGACTAAGAGTAGCATATTTTCGAAAAACTATCCTTACTAAGACCTCAGGTGACTCATTTTTTTAAAAAAAATTACCTAGTTTCTTGGTTCTCTAACAAACTTCTCCCCCACCCCAAGTTTTTCTTTGTAGCATATTGTTTGTATTTCATTTTAATAAGTTGAATGGGGAGAAATATTATCAATGTCTTATTAAAATTGTTAGATTTGATAGTTTCATTAAATGACTATAGAAATAAGGAGATTTCTGAAAAGAAAACCTATTATGTTTATACATTTACATTTATATCTGCTGCAATCATTAATGGTTTTGAAATAACTGGCATGTGTTAGAATATTTATATATAAATTTCTAAAAGGAATCTAGGGAGATTTCAGTTTTAGGCTGGGTTTATTAAATGCTCTTCCTCCTGTGGGAATATTATAGATTGTAAAGATTATCATAACTAGAACAGTGAAACAAAAGAAACTTAAACACGAGTAGACTGTATCACTGAGGGGGAAAAAAAACCCTCTTTCCTGTGTTTGATATAGATTTTAAAGCGGCTAATTCTGGGGGGAAAAATGTGTTACATTATCTTCTTTGAGGTATGGGAGCTGGGAGAAGGGCATATGAAAATGTGGGACTTCTGGTACAAGAGAATTAAACTACTGTTTGCTTTTCTCTCTCTCTTTACTGCTCTTTAATTGTTCAGAAACTACAAGAAGTTTTAATATTTATTTGACTTTGTTCTTATGCCCTTTATTTTTCTATGCACAGATCTACTTATGAAGAACATATACAGATTGGAAGAAAATATTATGATAAAAAAAAAAACTAATCCTCATGAGCTGGATTTCCTGTCTCTCCAACAGATGTTATCAGGATAATTGCAAACAAAACTCTATATAACAAATGCCAGGTGACTTAATATTTGTATTCAGTAATATAACTTCTAAAGTTGTATATCGGCTTCCCTGTAGACAGGGCAAACAAATCAAAGTGTGAATCCAAGTCTCTGGGACTTGACCTAGAAAACTTTAAAGCTTTGAGTCTCTGAAAAACCGAGAGCTGGTTCTGAACTTAATTCCAAGAGCTCGAGGGCGTTTTGATGACTCTTTGTAACAGAGTGATTTTATAGTTTTGCTCTAACTTTGGCTGCGCTCCGGAAGTACCCTCCCTTTTCTGCTCAGCAGGGCTTTTTCACTTCTTGCTCCTTGTTTTTTTCCATTGCATCCAGAGTGGCTTAGTAAAGTAAGAAAGGAGAGGTAAGGGATGAGGAGAGTGTGGGGGGTTACCATTGTCTCTGCAGCCCTGGCTCACCTGGTAAAACTTGCCCTTATTCTCCACCACACTAAGGCCACGGTGGGGGCAGGGGAGTGGCTTAGTAAAGTAAGAAAGGAGAGGTAAGGGATGAGGAGAGTGTGGGGGGGTTACCATTGTCTCTGCAGCCCTGGCTCACCTGGTAAAACTTGCCCTTATTCTCCACCACACTAAGGCCACGGTGGGGGCAGGGAGATCTCAGGTCTCTCTAAAGCCCAATTTGAAGGCATGATGGAGCAGGCTGCACAGTGTAAGGAGAGGAGAGTGTTCTGAGAATCTGCTTTTTCAGGTGATACAACAGTCTGTGGGGGTGGGGAGATGAGCCTGGGGGAAGCTAAGGACAAATGATTGGCTACTTCCTCCAACTTTTTTTTTGCTTATGGTTCTAGTAACCAATACCATCAATACCTATCTCCAAATTTGACTTTAAACAGCTTGGAAATAAACAATTACATATAAGGTTCCCGTGTCAGTATAAATTCTACTCTAGTTTGGAAATCTTGAATGATTAAATGAATCTGTGTGAAAAACAAGTACCCCAGGCCTGATTATTTTCAAAACCCCAAAGTGACTTAATAACTTTCCTACCAAATTTATACAATTATTCTCTCCTGCTCAAAGTTTCCTCAATTTTCCTTCAAAAAATTGGACCATGTCTTCAGAAAATGGTTTGGTCTTGCTGTTTCTACCATGGCAAAATTTATTTTAGTCCTTCAGCTTTCCACCGTGCTTCTGTGCTTTCTGTCAGGTCTCTTCATCATGAATGAGTCTCCTGTATAAGCCTCCTGAGTACAAGCTTTCATACACCTACTCTTCCTCTCCCACAAACCAGACGGTCTGGAGGTCTGGAGCTCTGCCACTCCATTAGCAGCTTCAGCTTAGAACTGGATTGGAAATGCCAAGCTTCTGGTGACATTACAGATTGCTGGTTGGTGCCTAATGCTGGCTTAGTTATATCCTTGGCAGGTCCCTGGATGCTAACCAAATAGCCCATGAGCTCCAAGTTAATAAGGTCGATGTGTTTTGAGTCAATCTCCAAAAACAAGAACATTCTGTCTCTTAAAATTCAAATTAAATAAAGCAACTTAATAAGGCTCTTTTGTGTTTGTGACCCTCCCACAGATGTTTCCTGCATGGTTTGTCTCCACAGTCATTGTCCACAGGACTCTGAGAAGCTGTAGGAGGCCCGGCTTTCTCTCCACCATTGTGGAAAGGGAGCATACATCACGGGGCAGAGGCCTGTCCTCTGCGCCACCTGAACAGAGCTCCGGGGAGAGTGACCTGAGGGTATCCACATTGGAGTGTTTGTGATATTTTGATTCACCATTTTTCTTAATATCTGTTTGAGGTATTAAGACAAATAATTTAATACAGTGTCAGAAACTAATGGCAATTTAAAAGCAATAACTAGCTATTCATTCTAAGAAGACATTTAGGTAGTTTTTTGAAACATTTTTTCATGATTGAAAAACTTTACTTGAAATAAATCATACTCACCGTGTATTTTCAAACAGAGATTGAGAAGTAAAAAGCCACACTTACAGAATTACTATTAGCATCATGTTATATTGGAAAAGCAAGTGTTTATTAACTAAATCATGAGTATCTATTCTCTAGGTGAGTCGGGGTTAAATGGTAAATTCAATGTAAATTTTTATGAAAAAGGTTAAATTTATACGAAGTTTTTAAGTTTAATTTTTATCTTTAGATTTTTTTTTTAGTTTGTTTTTAGTCCAGCTTTTTCAAAGTAAGAAGAGTAGGGTGGATCCGCACAGGTGTTTGGCAGACTAAGGTATTATGAAACTTACCCTCCCTGTCTCAGAGTTGCATTATGTGGTTGGCTCCAGTGACTACTGGCAAGCAGTCAGAGATTTTCAAGTATCCAAACTAGAGGAAGGTAATGAGATATAATGCCAAATTGTCATCTCAAATTACCTTTGGAACAAAAGAAAAAAAAAGATGAGATTCCTAATTCCTAAAATTTTGGAATATATTTTTCCAAATTAAAAAGATTCTCCACCCTTTCAGTATTCAGTGTCCACTATTACTTTTTTTGTTTTGTTAATCCTCATCTGAGGATATTTTTCTATTGATTTTAGATGCAGTAGAAAGGAGGGAGGAGAGAGAGAGAGAGAGACACACACACACACCCACACACAGAGACACAGAGAGAGAGCGACATCGATGTGAGAGAGACACGTGCCCCAACCAGGCCAGGAATCTAACCTGCAACCCAGGTAGATACCCCTGATGGGGAATTGAACCCATGATCCTTCAGTGCCTGGGCTGACACTCTAATCCAGGGGTCCTCAAACTACAGCCCGCGGGCCACATGCAAATACAAATATTGTATTTATTCCAGTTTTGTTTTTTACTTCAAAATAAGATATGTGCAGTGTGCATAGGAATTTGTTCATAGTTTTTTTTTTAAATTATAGTCCGGCCCTCCAACGGTCTGAGGGACAGTGAACTGGCCCCCTGTTTAAAAAGTTTGAGGACCCTTGCTCTAATCACTAAGGAACATGAACACGAGCCAGGGCCTAAGACTTTTAAGGGTGGAGATTTCAGGGGAGGTCCCAGGGGACGATTTCAATAGACTATTCAGCAGTTTTCCAATTGTGTCCTTTCAGGGTCTAGGCCTCCACTGAGCATCAAGGCAGGGGATCATTATTTAACGCAACTGGTCTGGAGGTGGCTGGCTTTGTTGTTTTGCTGAGCCTGGAGCTGAAATACAACTGAGGCCTAGGCCTAGTAGTTATCTGCATGGAGGAAAGGTCAGGGCCTCCAAACCGCATGCCTAGTGATATGCTGGGGGAGGAAAGGTCAGCCTGGGGGAGAGGTTCCACCCTACAATTGTCCTTTACCAGGCACTCCATCCTGGTGACCTTCTCTTCCTGGCCATGGTCCTTGCTCTGCTCATGTCTAACTGCCTCCCACAAAAGCATACCAAGTACTATGAAAAAATAAAATTAAAAAACATTCTAAATATTTTAAAACAGTCTTCATGTTACTCATTGCTCTCACACTTCAGATTTTGTAATCACCAACTTCTTTACTTGTTATTGGCTGTTTCTCCTCCTAAATTTATGTCTGTATTCTAGGGCCTAAGCCTGAGGCTTAGCATATAGAAAGTGTTCAATAAATATTTTAAATAAATTAAGGGATAAATAACTGCGTGAGGAATAAGGGATGGCTTCACAACATGGTGTTGAGCTAGATATTGAAGGAAAAGGATAAAATCTTTTGAGTGCTTATTATGTGACAGGCAACTGTTCTAAATACTTGACACTTATTGTGTAGGGGGGGAAATTGTTTTCCTCTCAGCTTTCACAGTTCTTCTGGCTAAGCTAATTATCAAATTATCATTAGACAGATTAACAGGAGAAAATTACCAAATTTGTTACGAATGTACATACGAGGGTTCCATAAGAATATAGGGCCCAAGGATGCGTTGGGAAGTTGAGACTCATATACCATCTTGAGCTAAAGAGAAAGGGGCTTGTAGTTTGGGATTTCAAAGCGCAGGAAGGCAATATTAAAGCAAAAGTTTGGTAAATAAATGTTTGCTGGGCCATCTTTACCAATGAAACACTGAGAGGACTTTGATTAAATGGGCCTTGACAAATTCCTCCCTATCACACGCTAGTTCATGCTAAATTATAGTTATCTATGTTGATATCTCCCTTCCTGGAATAGGTCCTCTATCTAAATTTAGGTAGTTAGGGAGAAAGCCAAAAGTTTTTTTTGAGCTTTTTATTCCTTAAAAATAACCAGCTTAACATAATATTCCAAATATTATTCTGATGCAAGCAAATTTTGAGAACCATTATTCTAGACTGGCGATTCTCACCCTTGACCGAAAATTAGAATCATCTGGGTTCCTTGGGCAAAAAATCCTATTGCTAATGCTACAACCCGGACAATTAAGTCCACCATTCTTAATACAGTCAAGAGTGATTTTTAAAACACTCCAGGTGGTTCTATTATGGCATAAAGATGGAAAGCCACTGATCGATAGCCATGCTTTTTAAATTGTGCTCTCCAGGTGCTGTGCCCTTTCCTGCTTCCTACAGGGCAGTGGCATGCCTGCCCTGCTTCCTGACATTGTGTTCCCTGCCAGAAAGGCCACTGTGGTGACGTTCCTTCCTGGATTAGGATTAAGGGCATGGGTGTGTTACTGAACTCAAGGGGTTTTCCTTTTGGGGTGCTCTATTTAAGAATGAGACATGATTGTCACAAGGTAGTTTATTTACTTGCAGCAAGTACAGGAGTCAGGAGATTCATAACCAAAGCTCTGTCTCCCTGAAGGGAGGCTTAGCTATTGCTCATATACACTATTTGGTCAGTTACACATTGATTTCTTCTTTGCAGTTGGCCACATTTACTGATTAGGTTCCTGTCAAACTCATCCTGTTTACCAGTGGTCTGCAAAATACTGTGCAACATTTGAACACTTAGCAAGAATAACATTTAGTAATAACATTTAGAACTGCATAGGCCTTGAGACCCTTGTCCCATCTAACAGGTGGGCAGAAGCCTTTGCAGATATCAGATGTTCACAAATCAAACATATCTGCCCGCTTGCACTTGTTATGTTCAATGTGAACATGGCTATGCCTTCTTGGTTTGATATTATTAGGCTTTCACCAAATTCACAGGAAGGTGAACCTGGAATTAAATAAGCACCAGAAAACATAAATTGAAAGACCAGAGGCAAAGAACAGTATTCCTTTAAACAGAATTATTTTGGGAGGGTTTTCTCAGGAAGGAGGTTTATCTTTATACACCGCTCTTACCACACAGCAGAAACTAGCAAGCTTCGCTGCCCTCAGTTACTGGCTTCAACTCCACAGGGTCCTATTGATAGTGGGGAAGGGCACGTAATAAGAACAAGTCATAGTTGTCCAATAATTATTCACCTCACTATAGATAAGACGTTTTCTTACAGACCCTGGGAAACTGGAGGATGAAACAAGGCTGTAAAAAGATAAGATGCCTCCATGGGTCCATTACTCAGAAAAGAAATACATTTTGAGAACAGACCAAGGGCAGGACACCCTTTGATTTGGTTGCTGTGCCCGGACCTTGACCCCCTCTGGGAGTTTTTCTCAGGAACGCTGACCATTCTCCGGTCCCAGGAACGGGCTAAGCTGTTTGTGACATCACAGAAGATTAGCCATCTTGTTATCAGACTTTGAGTTCCTGAAGGCCAAACTGCAAACTCTAACCTCCCCTTTCCATGTTACACTTGCTGCTTGCAGCTGCATGTAGCTATCTTCTCCCTTGTGTGTATAGAATCAGCCAACTGGCAAGGGCGGTCAGAGCAGAATTTCCAGGGTGACCGATTGCTCTCCCCATACTGCCGGCATTATTGGGATAAATGCTCATTTATGATTCAACCCTGTCTCTGCTTAATTTGGCTCAAGTAGTGACAGGCAGCCTTGAACCCATTAAGTCCGGTTTCATTATCAGTGACTAATACAGACATTTCTATTCTCCAGTGTCATGGATACTGTGACCCTTTAGTTCCCTTAATAGTTGGTTCTCTTGCTGTTGAAAAGCCAAAAACATTGGCAAACCCAGCCAATGTAACCTTCAAAGCCTATGAAGGCATGATGTCACCAGGAAATGATGGCTAACACGCAATTAATTGATAAACTCCTACCTCCAGATGATGAACATTGCTGAGGCCTTGTATAGAACGCTAGGATCGTTGTAGTAGAGTATAAACCTTTCCCAGTGCTCCATATTGAAACTTCTATTTGCAGTGTTAAAATAAACTGTTTTGCAAACACACACCATTGACAGACTAAATAATGTCTTTTGGGGGGAAATTTGTGGTCTTTTAATCTTCTACACATGTATAATATTGTCCAGAATATATTAGCATTAAATAAATGAAACACCCAGCTTCTTTTTCCCAAATGCAATTCAGCAAAATAAGATAATGCTACCACATTTGAACATTTGAAAATTACTAGTCTGCTTACTGAAAACTTGTTCAGATATAAATGAACAGTTAAGATATAAATGATTTATGCATGCTGTGGGTTGGGTTCCAAACTATATATATAGATTCTCTTAGAGGA